TGAAGTGCCTTGGTAAAGATATCAGCAGTGTTGACCTCAGAGGCAACATAAGCAAGGCGCAGCTAACCATGCTGCTGTAGCTCACGAGCAAGGAAGTAGCGAATAGCAATGTGCTTCGTTCTGTGCTCCAGTCTGTGCTCCCGACACAAGGCCAGCATGGCCTTGTTGTCTACGTACAGAACTGGAGGAGAACCAGGCGGCTCTCCGAGGTCGCTCAGCAGGTAGGTGAGCCAGCGTAACTCTTATGCAGCCATGGCCCCTGCGTAGATCTCGGCCTCACAGCTGAAGCCGAGAACAGAAGACGAGCGGGTAGACCGCCATGAAACAGAGCCGGAACCAAGGATGAAGGTGTAACCCTGTGACGACCGTTGCGTAGCTAAGTCATCAGCCCAATAAGCGTCTGCATGACCAGTGAGGACCAGTGAACTCCGCCCTCCAAGCACGAGCCCCACGCCCGACGTACTGCACAAGTAGCGCAACACCCTCTTCGCTGTAGCCATATGCTCTGGTCGGTGTCTCCCAGAAGCAACATAGCGTGCTAAGATGATAAGAGGGTATGCTAGGTCAGGAGGAGTGCAGGTCATCAGGTACATGAGGCAGCCAACAAGCTCTGGGTATGGGCCACTCGGCTCTACGGACTCATCCGAAGGCAAATCTGAGAGCGAGTGGCGAGTAGACAGAGGAGTGGCCGGAGGCGAGGAGTACGCGAAGTCGAAGCGCTGAAGGACCTGCTACACCATGCGTGACTGAGTCAGGGTAATGGTGCACCGTGCTCTGTCCCGGGTGATCTGCAAGCGAAGATAGCTGCGCAGTTCACCCAGGTCTGTGCATGTGTGTCTCTTCTGCAGCTCAAACTTCACGTGGGCGAGTCCAGCAGTGTCAGCAGTAGCAAAGACCAAGTCGTCGACATACACGAGGATGTAGAACGGCGGCAGCGAGTTGCCGGTGCGCAGAAACAGCAACGGGTCAGCAGTAAAAAGAGCAAACCCAAGAGCCGCAAGCGTAGTCCTCAGTGTGTCGTGCCACTCGCGGGGAGCCTGGCGGAGACCGTAGATTGGCCGCCGGAGGCTCCACTGGGTACCAGGAAGAAACGACTCTGTGATGCCAGGAGGGCGGCGCAGCCAGATCTCCTCGTGCAGGCTGCCCTGTAGGAAAGCAGTGCTGAAGTCAAGAGAGTGAAGCTCGTATTCGCGCTGAGCAGCTATGTTCAGCAGCACCCAAAGAGTGGTCATCTTTGGGGTGGGGGAGAAGGTCTGAAAGTAGTCAACTCCCTGCCGCTAATTGAAGCATAGAGCCACCTAACGTGCCTTGAAGACAGGCGGAGAACCCGGCGGCCGCTTCACCCTGAAAATCCACATGCCACTGACGATGTTCGCCCCAGGTGGGGGAACCTCATCAACGTAGGTGCCTGTGGACTTCCAGGAAGCCATATCTGCGTCCATGGCTGACTGCCATTGAGTGGAGTTGGGACCCTCTATTGCCTCTGCGTAAGAGCGCGGAGTTGGGATGTGTGGTGCATCCGGGTCTCCCTCAGGGGCAATCAGCATGGACACGAGATGAGGTAAAGCAGCACCAAAACACTGGAACTCCTCCTGCCTGCCAAGAGCACACTCACCCCCGACAGACGGAGGACAGACAGGAGTACCGGAGGATGGTTCGCTGCGGAGAGTTACTCTACAACGGTGGTGAGCTAGACTACGATGGTTGGCACGAACTACTAGAGGTGATCGTAGCTTTTCTTGGCTCCTTAGTGCTTGCACATTTACGAGAGAAATCGGCAAGAGTTTCCAGTATTAAAGTTGGAATTACAGAATGATTAAACAAGCAATGACAACAATGACTACATCAGGCACCTAGCAACCCTGCTGCTAGCCTCGTCAACCGCCAGCACAGCTCGGTCGACCGCGTGCCAGCGCTGCGTAGAGGAGCCGCGCCAGCACTGGAGAAATGCGACCTGCCAACAGAGCAGGTCGATGGCGTGCCAACGCTGCAGCGGAGCGGCTGTCCAGCGTTGCCCCGTAGAACACAGCAGTGTGCACGCTCGCTGGTGCGCGCAGACGATTGGCCCAACTTGCCTCGTTGGGCATCCGTCGGCTGTTGTCTGCGCATGACGAGCCACATCGACTCCAGGATACCAGCCCGCAGTCGCGTGCCTCAGCAGAACTCGTCGAGCAGGTTATCCGGTCGACCCGATCGACCACCAGGTGCTTCCGGTCGACCGCAACTGCCGTCGAGCAACCCCCTGGTCGACGAACCCCTTCCGACTGCTCCGTCGACCTCCCGGCCGAACTGCAGGTCAACGGGATGCTCCAAAGACCTCTCGATCAAGCAGCAGGTTGACGGGATGCTCCGAAGACTTCCCGGTCGAACGGAAGATCGACGGGATGCTCCGGAGACCTCCCGGTCGAGCTGCAGGTCCTGGTCGACGTCCCACCGGTCGCCCAGACCAGTCAGTTGCAGCTATCGAGCTCCCTGGTTGACAGCAACACCACAGCGGTCCCCTACAGCTCGATAAGCCTGTCGAGCAGCTCTCCCACTGTGAACGGTCGGCTGCTACTCCCGTACATCCGACCAAGTCGTCGGCGTTGCCCAAGCGAGGGCGGGGCCAACACTCCACTCCCGTTAACACTCCCCTGCCGCGCTCACGCTTGGGCCTCCAGCCCACACGGCAGTACTTCATGGAGAAAACTCGTCCTCGGCGTGCACCCCACACATAGCACGCCGTCACCGCACCACCCTACTACTGCACCTCGTTGTCGCCGTCGGCCAGACGAACTTGGCCGATGGCGACCGAGCACCGGTTGAAAGCCGGAAAATGCAGCGCCTTCGTCAGGAACTCTTCCGGCTGCTCGGTGGTCGGGATGTAATTCAGCACGAATTTCCCGCGCCTCACCATGTGCTGCAGCTAGGCGTAACGTCGCTCCATGTGCTTGAGGTTGCCCGTCAGCCCCAAGCCCTCAGCGACCGTGATTGCCGACTTGTTGTCGACGCGGAGGATGGTCGGCTTTCCAGCGTCGAGCAGCTTGAATTCCACAAGGAGGAAGCGAAGTCGACGCCCCTCCTTGCCGGCATCCGTGGCCACCACGTACTCCGACTCGGTCGATGACAATGTCGCGCACTTGATGCGTGAGCTCGACCAGGAGACGGCGGCCCCTCCGTAGACGTACATGTAGCCTCCTGTGCTCGTCCGTGTCATCGGCATCGATGTAGCCGATCAGCTCCAACGATTCTGGTCCACCGCCGAACTCTAGGGCGTTGTCGCGGGTGTCAGCGAGGTAGGCGAGGCAGCGTTCGACCTCGCGCCAATGCTGGTCGCTCCTCATCGTGAGGCCGCTCCCCAGCTTGCTGCAGGGGATTGCAATGTCCGGCCTCGTCGTCGTCGCCGCAAACTGCAGCGAGCCGACCTTCTGCCGGTACTCCTCCTCTTCGCGCTCCTGAGCCTCCTCATCGTCGAACGTCAGCTGAGCGTAGGCGTCGACCGAGAGTGGCGTCTTCAAGACTCTACCGCTCTGCTCCTCGTCGATGTCGCGGGTGTCGGCGAGGTAGGCGAGGCAGCGTTCAACCTCGCGCCAATGCTGGTCGCTCCTCAGCGTGAGGCCGCTCCCCAGCTTGCTGTAGGGGATTGCAATGTCCGGCCTCGTCGTCGTCGCCGCGAACTGCAGCGAGCCGACCTTCTGCCGGTACTCCTCCTCTTCGCGCTCCTGAGCCTCCTCATCGTTGAACGTTAGCTGAGCGTAGGCGTCGACTGAGACCAGCGTCTTCGAGACTCTACCGCCCTGCTCCTCGTCGATGGTGCGCCTGCGCACCTTGTTGGCGTAGCCCTGCTGGTGCAGCCACAGCTTCCTGGCCGGCCTGTCGTGCACGATCTCCAGCCCAAGGTACTTCACCACTAGCGAGATCTCACGCAGCTCGAAGGCAGCCTCCAACAGCTCCTTCAGCTCCTTCAGCATCGCGGAGCTGCTGCTGGCGGCGAGCAGGTCATCGATGTAGACCAGCACCCAGCAGGTCACTCCGTTGTCACCGGCCTTGAAATAGAGCGCCTCGTCGAGCTGGCTCTTCTTCCAGCCAGCGCCCAGCAGCGGCGACTGCTTCAGCCTGTAGAGGCTCTTCAGCCACTTACACACCCGGCCGGTCCCGTCGTCGAAGTAGTCCGGCTAGTACATGTAGAGCACCCTGTCGAGCTTGCTCTGCAAGAAAGCATTCTTCATGTCGAGCTGCATCAGGCTGAGGTCGAGGACGGCGACAATGCTGAGGAAGATCCTCAGCGTGACGTAGCTGCTCACCGACAAGTACGTCTCGTCGTAGTCGGCACCGTACACCTGCGTGAAGCCCTTCACGACTAGCCTCGCCTTCTCGCGCTCGACGGGGTCGCCGATGCGGTACTTGGTCGTCAGCACCCACCGGTTCTTCATGATGTTCACCCCGCGTGGGCGTTCGACTAGCTCCCAAGTCCCCATACCGATGAGGCTGCGGATCTCTTCGTCCATGGCGGCCTTCACCGCCTCGCCCTTCCAGCTCGACAGCGCCTCCTTCACTGTCATCGTGGCGATGTCCCAGCGGTGTTTGGGGTCAGCATGCATGTCAGGGTCGAGCTCCGGCAGGTCTTCATCCTCCTCGGCATCGTCGTACAACAGGTCGTCGTCGACCTCGTCATACACCGTGGTGAAGGCAACTGGCGGTAGGCAGGCGTGCCCCTGCTTTTGAAACCATTTCTGTGCAGGAACGTGTGCCACGTGGCGCTGGGGCTGTGGGAAGGATGCCACGTGCAATGATGATGATAACGTTGTCGGGTGCATCTGCAATGATAAGACTCTTACCTACAATTACGACACGATGACCTGTGATGGTGAGTGTGCTTGTGTGGGTGAGTGTGGGTGTGTGGGTGAGTGTGGGTGTGTGGGTGAGTGTGCGTGTGTCGGTGAGTGTGCGTGTGTGGGTGAGTGTGCGTGTGTGGTTGAGTGCGCGTGTGAGTGCAAGTGTGCGTGTGAGGGCGAGGTTGCATGTGTGGCGTTCACAGTTCCACCCATCTAACCCGCATTAACCACTTCACCCCGAAACCACCCGTGACTTTCTCTGCAGACGCGTGTGTCGGCCGGGACTGCGGGTTAGAGGCGTCATGCATTGGCACGGGTGATCCCATTCCTCCGTGTGTGTGCAACAGTAAAGGCTTTACCTTTGTCCAATCTGACAAGACGTGCTTTGGTGAGTGCTGCTAGTGGTGAGTGCTGCTACCGGTGAGTTGTAGGCGATGCATCTCTTGAGATTGAGACACGTCAGCATCTCAGCAGTTCCACATTAGGCAGCGCTGGGAGGCACTGCTATCGAGGCAGCGCTGGGAGGCACTGCTGTCGAGGCAGCGCTTGGAACGTTGACCCCTTCTCACTCCTCCCGCACCTTCCCCTTGTGTCCGCCCTTTGCTCTCCTTTGCCCTGCCCTGCCTCCGACTCCCCGCCTTCAAACCTCCACCGTTGGTTGCACAATCTCCACCGGCCACGACTTGCCACCGTCTCAACGGACGCTCAGCCCCCTTGGTGCGCACGGCAGTGCACATCAAAGGCCTCCGCAGCCCGCTCATGATCCTCACCTTCTCCACTCCTCTCGCACCTTCCCCCCTCTCTGCCCTCTTCCTCTCCTTTCCCCTGCTTAGCCCCCTTGGTGCGCACAAGGCTGCAGATCAAAGGCCTCCTGAGCCCGCTCATGATCCTCACCCTTTTCCTGTCTTCCCCATTCCTCACCTCAACGGATTACAATGCTCAGCCCCCTTGGTGCGCACGACGGTGCAGATCAAAGGCCTGCTCAGCCCGCTCATGAACATCACCTTCTCCACGGACGGGCCGGCAGAGCAGCACGCCAGCGGCACCACGGCGTGCAGCAACGTGGGGCAGAAGATCTACAGCGAGACTGACATCACCGTTGTATGGAACGCAACTAACCCAGCCGCCAATCCCACCTCAAACCCAAACTCACCCTCGCTGCAAGACGCCGCGGCTGGCGCTGCCATGTGCAAGAGCCTGTCGTTCTACTCGGGGCTGTGGTGCGAGGAGGATGTGGAGTTGACTCTCGCGCGTCCTCGTCCCGTGAAGCGCGGCCGTACCACTGCGTACCCCGTCACGAAAAAGTGAGTGAGTTTTGAGACGTCTCAAAAACACCCTCGTTTGACGCGCCTGGCGCCGCCATGTGCAAGAGCGTGTCGTTCTACTCGGGCCTGTCGTTCTACGTGGAGCTGACGCTCGCGCGCCCGCGTCCTCTTCCTACCCGTGTCACTGCCCACCCCATCACAAACAAGTGAGTTTTGGGACGTCTTAACACGTCCTGCAATGCGCAGCCGTGTCACTGCCCACCCCATCACGAACAAGTGTGTGTGCGCGATGCACGCGGCATGTGTGGTTTGTTGCTGCTCTGCTCTTCCAGCATATTGTGCGACCCTCTTCTATCACCGGAATTCGCTTCACCGTTTGTCGCGCACAGTGTATGTCCTCACTCGCACTCAATGCATGTCTTCCCCATCCTTTCCTCTCCCTCTCTCAGGTATATCAAAGACGTTTATTTGGTGCAATCAGTTGGCTGCGAGATCAGTAAGTGCGAGCGCATGCATGCATATCTAAACTGTGTCACGTACATATTATGAATGATCTTACAAGCTACTGTACAATAGAGCGAGACACACCCAACCTCTTTGTCCATGATTCTTTCCTTCGCTCCTATCTTCTGCATATCAGACAGTAGCATGTGTTCTGCTTATTCTTATGGCTACCATAAGATAAAGAGCGACTCACCCACCCTCTTTGCCCGTGACTCTTTCTCCACCTCCCTGTGCCTGAAAACCTTTTTTCTTACCCCTTTCCTCCATATGTCTGGTTTGTTTGTCCCTATGTCTTGGTGCCCACAACAGCCACGTGCCACAAGGATTGTGGAGCTGCTGAGTGCGTTGTGAAGGACGGCCAGCAGCAGTGCCAGTGCCCCGAGGGCTTTGTGTTCAACGCAGCCAAGAAGACCTGCGGCGCTCCTCCTCCTCGTAGGTGCCTTGCTCGTCTATTGTGGGTTGTAGGTTTGGCTTTGCCAACAATAGAACACCAGCTTGGGCAACAGGTCTTGCATACAATATGAAAGGCCATCTGCCAGTGTTACCCGCTCGCTCTCATTCTCCCCGCCTGCTGCCAACTCAGCCTCATGCTCTCTCCCTTATCCCCTCTCCCCTCTCTTCTCTCCCCTCTCCCCTCTCCCCTCTCCCCTCTCCCCTCTCCCCCACCCTCCACCTGCCATCAACGCCAGCCAAGTGCAGGCCTGCCTGCACTGGTAATGCCCAGTGCAAGTGGGTCGGAGGAAAGCCGTTGTGTCAGTCGAAATGGTGAACAAGATGTGCACATGTAAGAGGGAGAGGGATAACTGCTTGCTCTGCTTTGTACCTTGCTCTCTTCCAAGCCGCTGCAGCTAGCTTATCCACTCCCACCACCTCCACTGCCCAGATACAAATTTTGAGGCGCCTCAAGAATCACCTCCAACCCCCAGTGACACCCAGTGACACCCAATAACAACCTGCGTGTTACTTTCTGATCTTCCTTGTAGTGTCTGCATTCTGCCTTGCTCTCTTCCAGGCCGCTGCAGCTAGCTTATCCACTCCCTCCCACCACCTCCACTGCCCAGACACACCCATGAGCAACCCATGTGTCACTTTCTGATCTTCCTTGTATCGTCTGCTTTCTCACCTCACTTGTTACGCTGTTGCCTGCCCTCCATTTGCCCCCTCTCTTTGCAACGAACGCAGGGAGCTTATTTATGATCAAGTTCAAGATGAAAGAGCTGGTAGACAAGGGAGGGCAGGACAGGCAACCCTTGCTCAACATGAAGGAGGCAGAAGCTGGAAGTGCCAGCAGGATACCGAATGGTGGGGGGGGCTGATGGATTAAAGGTGCGAGCAACTGCATGCGGTTGCTCGGAGGCCAGGAACCAATGTGGCTGACGGTAGGCCAAGTCACTCTGTGAGTGTGGTGCCGATACCGTAGGAGTGGCATTACAAGTGTGTGTAGGTAGGTGCTGGTCTGTTGTACCATGTGGTGTGGACTTCTTTTTACTCGTTTGTTATACCTCTTGGGCTTTTTTGTTTGTGTTTTGTACTGCAATCCACTTTTTTGCTAATTTATGTATGCCTGGTTTTTTACTTGTAAGCACCTCGATTGGACTACACTGGTATTACAAGCCGCCAAGCTGCTGAAGAGTGGTCGAAAACATGTACCGCACAGCTGTAACCAGGCCCCATGAAGTCAGAGAAATTTCTCTGATTTGCCTATAAAAGTCTGATTTCTCAGACTTTTTTTTTAGTGTTGTCTGTTAAATTCAGACTTTTTTTTAAGTGTTGTCTGTTAAATTCAGAGTTTTTTTTAAGCCAAGTCTGCAATTTCAGAGATTTTTTTGAGTGTACTCTGATAATTCAGAGTCAAATGCGTACGGACTCTGAAACTGATTCAATGTACCTTGGCACCCAGGGCCTCAGATTCGTTTTGGGTGACCCTGAGCACTCAGGGTCATTTGGGGCTGTAACACTGATCATCAGGGTTGTAAATGGAGAAACACTGATTTCTCAGGATTAGAAAAAAAAAAACCCTGACACATCAGCGTGAGTTAAAAAAAAACACTGGCGGTGAGAATCCACAACTATCACAAGTATAATAAGTTAAGAAAAGTACAAATATGGTTCTAATGAGCTTCTAATCTAACTACAGGCACAGACCACTTGGCGCTCACACCGCACACACAATTCACATCACACACATGTCTTCATCTTCGTCACTACCACCACCATCGCTCATAGAACCGTGCCTGTGCACGGGGGTCTCTGTCCCCCACCCAGAGCCAGCACCACCAGCATCATCCTCGTCCACCTTCTCTTTCCCCTTAGCACTAGGTTGCTTCTTTGGTGCTGCCACTGTTGTGATGGGCTTGCGCTTCTTGTACGCCCTCCAGATCTTCACCACCTCCGCCCAGTCGGGCTCGTACGGCAGCAATGCCATGCACATGAGGTCCGACAGCCGCGCATCCTTGATGGCACCCCTCAGCCAGCTCTTGATGATGTTTTGACGCGAGAACCCCCGCTCGCACTCGACTGTGCTCAACGGTAGCACAGCGACAGCCATCCACAGCTTCACCAGGTTGGGGTACGCGTCCTCCCAGCCAGGAGACTTCAGCATCGCCGAGAGACCCGGGTAGAACTTTCTCTCGGACTTCGGGGCTCCCGCGAGAACCGTGCAGAACGTGCGGAGCTCCTTGAACGCCTTCTTCTTGTTGACACCTGGAGGGAGTCAGGGAGTGCGCAAGCACAAGGAAAAGAACAAGGTAAGCAAGGCTCACCAGACAAGTGGTGCCAGTGTTTAGGTGCTACACAACAAAGCAGCACAAACAACGATGCACAGACCAAAGAGAAGTACGTACCTGGAACGATCTCGTCGCACTCTTGGGCCCTGAAGAGCATCGTGAGGGACTCAAGGTGCTCCGTGCAGACCATGGAACGCTCCTGCCGCCCATGGGGCCACTCGTCGGGCATGAACAGCTTCACACCGCTCAGCTTGTCGAGTGAACCCAATCGCTCATCCAGGTTATGCACGAGCGCCTCCGCCATCGCCGTGCACTGCTCCACGCATCGCTCATGGGTCCCTGCAATGGGGTAGCCTTCAAGGGGGGAATCATGCAGCACGTAGCAATGAGAAGTGGGCCGGCCGTCGGAGTCAACCCACTCGACCTCCACTCTCCGCACCCCATTCGGTCCATGTCGTGCAATGAAGGGCGACAGCTTCTCGCTCAGGCCGCCGCCGAAGTCGTCGCCACAATCCACATAACGGCTGTTGATGTGGGTTGTCGTGCGACGGATCTGGCCTTGAATCGCCAGCAGGTCAATCTGCCACACAAAAACAGTAGGGAAAGCACGGCCAGGTTTCAATCATGAAGCAGAACTAGCCGTAGCTAGCGGCCCTAAACCCACAGTCCTCACGGCACACAGGGATGCACAGGCAAAAGCAGGATCTCACCTGTCGATGCTGGAACGTCTTGCTGAGCACGTTCAGCTGTTCCAGCACGTCAGCGAGGAAGCGCAGCATGAACTGGAATCTGTAGCTGGTCACCATCTGGTACATGGGCTTGTTTCCTAGCTCGTGCACCATCACGACGACCCCCGGAAGGACTGCAAGAAGTCGGCAGACTGCATCGCCGCGTGAGAGCCAACGCACATCATTGATTCCTTGGAGCTCCAGGTTAGTCTCAATGAAGACTTCCTGAAGGTCCAGGAAGCGCTGGTGCCAGGGTCCTGATGAGCCGAGGTAGGTGGAGAGCCAGCGGATGAAGCTGTCGACCATGCCAAACTCCGGTAGGGACTCTGCCGCGTCCTTGGCCGCGAGTGCTTCCCTGCGATTTAAAACAAAAAACAGTCGCATTTGGTTAAGTAGAAGGAAGGACACCATGTTCAAATAACAAATACCAGTCGCATCGGACACTGCATCAACCACCGTACCTGTGAGCGATGCAGTGGCAGGACACCAGATGCGGAACGCGCGTCCTCAGCCTCGCCACCAGCCCGTTTTTGGATCCGACCATGACGCTCGCCCCGTCGGTGCTGATGCCCGTGATTCGGCGCAGGTCAATGCCGACGGCATTGACATGGGATAAGAGCAACGCCACCAGCGATGCGGCGTCTGCCCTGTCCACGGTTAGGAGGGCAAAGAACTCGGTGACTACTGCCCCGTCGCGGATGAATGTGGCATAGATGATGAGATGCTTCCCACGGCATCTGTCCGTAGACTCGTCACAGCTGAGGCCGATGTAGTGGCTTTGTAGGACGTGTTCGAGTTGTGTTGTCTGCAGCCACACGGCCGTTGCCTGTGTTAGTTCCCCAAAGCCGTACCTGCATAGACACCGAACATATTTGTTAGGCTTACGTAGTTGTGAACAGGAGAGGCTTTTAATGGATGCGCTCGTAAGCACTTACGTGGTGTAGTAAGTGCCGTATCCCTTTTTGGGAAAGCCGCGGACCTCGTTCTGAGCCATGTAGCGAACGAGGCGCACCCACGTCTCCATCGGCAGATGGTTCTGGGTGGTGAAGTGAAGGGAGTTCAGAAGGCTGATGACGCGGGTCGTCTCGTCATCTTTGGCGAGCGTATGCTCGTCAATTCGCGGCTGCTTCCCAGCCTGAGCTAGCATCTGCTTCTGGTGATTGATGGCCAACTGGTGCTTGTTCGTCGCGGCATGTCGCTTGAAGGCTTGGGTCTGAAGATCGGTTGCACCGTGCCCACTCTTGCCACACTTGCCACTGTCACCTGCAAAGTCGATGCACAATCTGCACTTGAACGCAGGCATGCCAAAAGTGTTTTTTATGAGGATGAGCCATGGGTAGTCGGTCGACCACGTCGACTTGAACGTTTCAAGGGCCTCTTCGTAAATCAGAGTGGTTAGTGAGGGTTTTTTAGAGTTAGATGGCGTGGGCGTAACGTGGTTTACCGACTCGCCGGCATCAGCGAGAGGACGTCCTGGATCTGTAGGATCGGCCCAACGGAGCACGGCCTGCTTGTAACGAGGCGGAGGCTTTGACGACGACGCACGAGATGGCAAGCGGACGCTTGGTCCGGCTGCTGACGGCACGGCCGGCTTAGCAGTATGCGCGGGCTGGGGACGATCGTCTCCGCGGCAGAGGCCAGACGCTTCACCAGTGTTTGCTACTGAGGCGACGGGACCTGGCTTCTCTTTTTCATGGGAGAGCGCGGAAACTAGAAAATCTAGTCCCGTTCTGGCCTCCAGCATCTCGGTGGCGGCGTAAAGTGCATCGTCGTCATCATCACCGCAGTTGTCCTCACCGGTGATCGCCATGGCGCGTTCACGTCACCTTCCTGAATCGGTGAGTAGTAACGAGATACCCTGGGAGAGAGAGAGTCTGCCGAGCAGGCTTCAGGGAGACTGCAGAGATTGATGTTTTGGAAAGGGATGGAGTCTGGAGAGCTGGAATGGCAGAATCACGAGACCCCCTGCGTGGCGTGCCTGAGCGGGCCGCCCCAGCATGCCCTGCCTTGGTGGAAAGAACAAGGCAGACCACTGGCCCACTAGGCCACTAGGCTTGGTTGTTTGTGCACATCAATGGAAAGTAATGACAAGTGTAGGTTATCCAACGTGACAACGGTACATTGCTTCAGCTGGGACAGCCAATCTCTTTGCGCGTTTTGCCAACACAGCCCGAAATTAACCCGTTCAACTGTATCTGGGCGCGCCGCAGGGTGGCGTCGGTGCAGGGTGGGTTCATGCATGATGACGGCGCGCAAAACTGCGAGAATCACGGAGTTTTTGGTTTCAGGGTCGTCTCCGATACAACACTGACTCGTCAGTGTCGAAAAACTAGAAACACTGGAAAATCAGGATTAGGAAAAGAAAAACACCGATTCATCAGGGTTGTAAAACCAAAAAGGCTGATTCATCAGGGTTACAATAAAAAATCGGGGTCAAACATCAGGAAATCAGGGTAAAATTCCTGGAATCTGAGGCCCTGTTGGCACCGACACCCACGATTTGCGCTAGTACGTGTACCTGGGTGATCAATCACGCGTAACCTGGGACCACACATCAACAGTCAAGTTTTGTGGGCGTGGCCGCCCTGCGACGCGGTTTTTCCTACGTAAACACCAGCGCACACCCTGCTAGAGCACCGATTGGTCCTTATGGCAGCTTCTGTGTGCCATCACGGACCGGCCTTGCACCCACGATGCTGCACTAGCCACCCACGACACAACGCTGACAGCATTGCACTTCTCACGCGCCTCGTCGTTGTCGTGCATGCAAGGCAACCACCCATCCACCTCAACGGGTCCTCCTTGTCTTGTCTATTGCCATCACCTTTCAGCTAGGGTTTCATCCACACCCCCTAGCTGGTG